CGGGCTGGATTCGAACCCGCCACCTTAGGTGGATGTGGCTGGCGCCTTAGCCACTTGAGCCACAGGCGCCCAGCCTCAGACTTAACTTTTAACATTGCACTTATCACAAACAGCCAGTAACTTGTGGACTATCAATTGATTGCCCATCTCTCTTCCCATGAGAATAAAAACTCCACTAAGGCAAGCGCTTGTTCTGCCCATTTGCTTAGCTTCTCTGTCCTTAGGCAGCACCGTGCCTGGCACAGTTAACAGGCCCAAGTATTTGCAGGTGAATAAAGAGGGATGAAAGGTGGGGAGGAGTGAAGTGGACTTGAGCTTTGGGTACCAGGATGGTATGTTCTGTATATGTCTAATAAGCCCAATTGTTCTAGGATCACATTTAAGTCTCTTGTTTTCTTGTCTACTTTCTGTTTAGAGAATTTGTCCAGTTCTGTCAGAGGAGTGTTGAAGTCCCTGGCCATTATGGTATTGTAGCATATCATATTATAGACCAACTAAGGTCCATTTCATAAATCTGGGAGCATTTAAGTTGGGTGCATTAATATCTACAATTGAAATGTCCTCTTGTTGGATTGTTCCCTTGACCAGTACACAGTGATCAAGCTTTGCGTACTGGGATGGGAGTGCATCCCCTGGAAGGGAGCCGGCTGGGATGGGGGTGGGGAGATGTGCAGGTCAGGTGAGGATGCAGGTGTCTGGCTCCAGCGGTTGGCACGCAGGAGTCAAGCTCCTCAAACAGAGTCATGGGAGTTGCAGGCATCTGGCTAGTAATTAAAGTTTTGGGGCAGCTGGGGTCTTCCTGAGGGTAGAATCCTTCCCCCCTCGCTCCCCCTCCTCAATTAACATAGTGGGCTACAGTAAGACGAATTAAGTCCAGCGCCCAGCCCAGCAGTAACCTTTAGGAGATACTAGAAAAAAAAAAAAAGGCAGGGGTGAGCCCCTTTTGCCACCATCTTGAAAGAGAAATGATTGCAGTGGAGGTGAGGTGAGTCTCAGCCTCTCCAGTTCCCTATTCATTATTCCCTAGCCTGCGGCCATCTCTATGACAACCTTGGCGCTCTTCCAGGTGCTGTTCCCAGGTCCCACTTGGCTCAGAGGGGGCAGGTCTTGCCCCTGGTGCCGAGAGTGTACCAGAAGGGCCGACCTGCTTTCCCAAAGGGAGATGATTTCTTTTCTTTTCACCCGGAAGGAGTGTCTGGTCCTTGGGTGTGGTAGTTACCCGACTGAAAAGGACTATCTCAAGGGTTTAGCATCGCCCAGAGGGTCCGGGGCTGGGTGTAAGGGGTGGAGCCTTTTCAAAGTGGCAATTGTGGATCTCCATCAAAAAGTCTTCGCGAGGCGGACACAGTGGTTCACGCCTGTAACCCCAGCACTCTGGGAGGCTGAGGTGGGTGGATTGCCTGAACTCAGGAGTTCAAGACCAGTCTGAGCAAGCACTAGACCCCATCTCTAAAAAATAGCCAGCTTTGGACGGGCTTCTGTAGTCCCAGCTACTTGGGAAGCTGAGGTAAGAGAATCGCAAGTACTTGAGGTTTCTGTGAGCTAGCACGCCACAGCCCTCTACCAAGGGGCAACAACGTGAAACATTTCCTCAAAAAAAAAAAAAAAGTCTTCTTCAGGTGCTAAACTTTGACTTTCTCCCTGAACCCTAGAATATGTCTCCCACCTTTTATTATTTTTCCTTGTTAAATATAAGATGCACAGATAAGAAGTGTACACAGTACAAATGAATACACAATGGAAGAAACAGTTATAAAATGACACCAGATTAATAAATAGAACACTGTCAGGTGTTAGCAACCACAGAAGCTGCAGAGGTGTCCCCTCCTGAGCTTATGTTGTCCAACCCACTCTTCTGAGTTTAACAGAAAAATGTTTTTTTCAGTTTTATACACTGTTAACTACCCACAATCCATCCTAAAAATTAGCACATGTATGTGCTCACACTCTATGTCTCTGTCTTCTTGTTTCCGGCGTCCTTGTAACTTCCATTCATGATACTGTGCTGCATTCTTATTGCTGCGTAGTGTTCCATTGAAAATATGCCATCACTATGTATCCACTTTTCTTACTGATTGACGTTTTGGTTGTTCTCAGTTTGGGGCTGTGAAGGGTCTATGGGCTTCCTGGTGCACATTGCTGTGAGTTAGGGTTTGTGCCTGGCTGAATTACTGCAGGGCAGAATATGTATATGCATGCCAACCTATGTTATATTTGGCATCTTGAATTTAAGAAGTTCAAGAAGGTCCCTCATTTACCCTACATGTCTGCCTAAATGTCCCCACTTCCTCATTTTCTGGTCTTACAAAGTGACACCACTCAACCATTTACTTTTGATTTACTTGCCAACACAGCCCTACCATATACACATATAACACCCACAGGCACACAGCCAGAATTTCACCTCCAGAATTCATTTTGAATCTACCCTTTTCTCTCTCTCTCTCTTTCTTTCTTTCTTTTTTTGTTTTGTGAGAGTCTCACCATGTTGCCCTCAGTAGAATGCCATGGTGTCACGGCTCACAGCAACCTCAAACTCTCGGGCTTAAGTGATTCTCTTGCCTCACCCTCCCAGTAGCTGGGACTACAGGTGTCCACCACAACACCTGGCTATTTTTTGTTATTGTTGTCATTGGTTTTTAGCAGGTCCTGGCCAGGTTTGAACCCACCAACCAGCCCCAGTGCATGTGGCCGGTGCCCTAACCACTGAGCAACAGGCACTGAGTTGAATCTACCCATTTATCTTCACCACTCTGTCCAGGCCACACATCTCTGTCCTGGCAGTTTGCTAGGGCCCTGCACTGCTTTGACTGTGCATCTTCCAGTTTATCCTCTACTCAGGAGTCAGATTCTGGCAAAGTGCAAGGGTGGTCACAGTCCTCCTTCTGAAAGCTTCCTGTTCATTGCCAGAGAACACAATCACGTGCTTGTCTTGGCTTACCTGGCTCTGCGTGGTCTGACCCCTGCCTACCTCTCCACCTCATCTCATCCTTCCCTCTACCTGTGTCTGTTAAGGTGTCCTTCTGGCCAATACCTCCTTGTCCTTCAGAGATCAGATCAAATGTCACCTCTGCAGAGAAGTCCTCCTGGGCCACCCCACCTAAGGTGGCATAGCCACTTTAACACTGTTCCTTAACATTCTCCCTTATTGCCTTCAGAGTACATAACTGTCCCAAATTACCTTCTTCATTTCTCTGAATCCTCTTTTCCCCACCACCGTCGCCTGCATAGTAGAATGTAAACTCTATGAGGGCTGGGGTTATCTGTGCAGTGTGCTATTGGATCCTCTGAGGGAGTTACCACGCCTGGCTTAGGATAAGCACTGGATACAGGAAAGTAATCTAGTGTGTGGAGACAACTTGGAGGGCATACCCTAGTCGAAGGTACAAATTCTGTTACTGAGAGGCAGCGTCTTAAGGGATGGGGCCTCTTCCTAGGTATGTCTCTAAGGCAGTGATTTTCAACTGTGTGCTGTGAAGAGGGTCTTAGGTGAGCCTCCCAATTTTTAAAAGATCATTAATTAAACTATTTTTGAAAGAAGTTTAAAGCACAGTAATATGTTCTTTTACTCCTTTTATTCACTAACATAATTTAAGTGTGCCACAGACGTTTAACTATAGGTTCAAGTGTGCTGTGAGATAAAAAAAAAAAAGGTTGAAAATCACTGCTCTAAGGAGACAATTTCATTTCCAAAGGGCTCATCCTGAGATTGGGGGCTCCCAAAGGGCTGTCTTGTTTCTAGGAGGTGTGTCTTTCTCCTGAAATTTGAGTTGGTATTTAAGGGAAAGGGCTGTGTACTATCTAAAGGTTTCAAAACTGGAGGGAGGATGGATGTCTCTATTTAGGACTTCTTCCTCAGTTGGGAAGAGATACCCACCCTATCCCCAGAAATCAAAGATCAGAAAATGAGACAGCAGTGACTGCTAGGGCAAGGTTTATTTGGGACCTGGAGACATTGGGGAGAGAAGGGGGCGAGGTTGAAGCTCACGTCCCGGGAACCACCTAGCCAAGTCCCCCCTTCCCTTTGGGGTTGGAACACAAACCAACAGAGATGGAAAGATTGACAGGTGCTACAGTAGAGGGGAAGAGAACCCTGTGTCCACCACTCACCTTCCACTAAGAGGAGTTCATGAGGAACGATGTGGACCAGTTCACTCTATGGCAAGAGGGAGGCTTGTCTGCCCTATTCACTCTAAGGAGGGTGGGGTGCAGTCCACACCTGGACCAGCCCATTCCATGTGGACAGGGGTGTGTGCGTGTGGATCAGTCCATCCTACTGGGCAGGGGGATTTCAGACCAGTCTATTCTAGTGTTTGGGGGTGGGGAAGATCATTAGGGTCATTATATTCTGCAGTGGGGGAGGGAGACCTAATTTGGGGGGTAGTTGTGGGCAGGGGGTATCTACCCTGGTCCTCTTTCAGCATAGGGAATGAAATGGGGGAAAGGCAAATATTGGCTATAACCATTTTCTGGGGGCACCAGTGACTGGTGGGTAACATTTGGAGGGAACCTAGGAAAATTCAGGAACATGGTCCCTCCACATTCTCCAGATCAAGGTCATTGGGAATGATGGCTCTCAGGGAGGGAGGCAGTCTTCCCTTGGGGGAGGGGTGCTCATCATTACTTGGACCCTCAAGATTAGAGGTACTTGTGGAGACACATTTAGACACATTTCTCATTCCTAGGTCCCACTGTCTTAGGGACCTATTGATTTGGGGTTGCCCTGCTATTCCAGGGGCCCCAGGCTCAGAAGTCTCTCCCTAGATTTGGGGCCCCCAACTATTATATCCTTGGATTCCCCCTCCCCCAAGCTGAGGAATCTCTGCATTTGCTTGTGGTCCCCCAGCTTAGGGGCCTGCCGTGGGTTTTTTGCGACCTCCTTCTCTCCAGCCAGGATCCTCTCCTTCCAGGGCCTGTGTCTGGATTTGGAGGGCTGGGGTCCCCTGGCCCATGTCCCGAGTCCGGACGTGGGGCGGAGGTCAGGGCACAGCCCTGCGGTGTCAATCCATGCCCCGGTGCAGCTTTAGGTGCCGGGAGAGGTTGCTGAGGGTGATAAAGCCCTTGCCACAGATGTGGCAGGGGAAGGGCCGTTCGGTGCCATGCAGCAGCCGGTGGCGCTTGAGGTAGCACTCGTGGCGGAAGAACTTGCCGCACTCGAGGCACGGGAACGGCTTCTCGCCCGTGTGCACGAGCACGTGCCGCTCTAGGTCACGTGGCGAGCGGAACAGCTTCTCGCATTCAGAGCAGCCAAAGATCTTCTTGCCGCGGCCCGAGCCTGCGGCAGGCTCCCGGGACAACTGCTCGTGTTCTGGGGCTGCCGCCGCTGCCTCTGCACCACCGCCCTCGCCATGGCTGACCCGCCGATGCTCCTCCAGGGCGGCCAGAGCCGCGTACAATGCCCCGCAGTGCCCGCAGCCATAGGTGGCCGGGCCCGAGTGCGCCTCCAGGTGGCTGGCCAGGGCTGCGGCCGACGCAAAGAAGGTCCCGCAGTCGCACTGGTAGAGGGTGTCTTCCGATGGCTCGGCTGCTGCCGCTGGCGCAGGAGCCTCATGGCCGCCCTCAGGGAGCAGCCCCCCTAGTTCGGGCACACCGCCCCCCGCCGGGCCCAGAAGCAGCCCGCCGTCCCAAGCTGGTGGCGCGTTGCCGGCCTCCTCCACAAGACCCACTTCGCTGGTCTTCTCTTGCCCAGCGCTGGCCCCTGGGGCCCAGGCCTGCGAAGGGGGCACGACAGCACCCTGCAGGTCGTGTGTTAGCTTGTGTCGCTCCAGCAGCGCGGGCGCGTTGAAGTCACGCTCGCAGCGTGGGCACTTGAAGGGCTTCACATCGGTATGCGCAGCCCAATGGGCTGCCAGCTCGCGGCCATGGTCGAAGCGCCGTGCACAGGCACCGCACGCGAATGGGGGCAAAGAGGCTGCTGCTGCAGCTGCCGCCTCGGCCAGACCCCAGCTGCCTGGGCCTGTGCCCACCCCCTCTGGGCCCTCTCCACTGCTGGCCCCTGCACCCCCGCACACTGAGCAGGGCCCCACGTTGCAGCAGACAGAGCAGGGTGCGCTCAAGGCGGGCAGGCCCGGGCCAGGCTGCAGCGGAGATGGGAGCACCCCTCGATGCTGGCGCTTGAGGTGTCGGCCAAGGCTGGAGCGCGAGGAGAAGCGAAGCTCACAGACCAGGCAGCAGTAGGGCTTCTCGCCAGTGTGGACGACCTGGGAACACGGGATGAAGAGCACAGCGTCAGGGGTGAGCATCTCACCGACACAGCAGATGACTAGCCTCCCAGAGGGATGTGGTCCAAATGACAGGGCCATCATGTAGCAGAAACACCCAGACTCTGGCTTTGGGCCACACCGGCATCCTTTCAGTTGTCAAAAGGCCAAATCCCTGCCAGACTGAGAACCTTGGGGAAAAATGCTCATCCCTCAGGCTGTTCCTAACTCATTTCCAACAAACCCACGTCGGGAGTTGTGACTCACTGGAAACATGATTAAGGACTAGGGCTCTGGGCACTGGCAGATCTGTGTTCAAAACCCAGCTCTGCCTTCTATTCTTTGCCACGGCTTGGGCAAGCAACTTCACATTTCTGGCCTCTGCTTCTCTCCTCTGCAAAATGAGCACAATAAGATGGGCCATCTCACAGGACATAGGGTGGAATCAGCACAAAATAACTACTTAATTCAGTGGGAACCAAAATTGTTATTAACCATTTTTCTGTGGTGTCCAAGTGTTGTCCTCTAAACCAGTGTGTATATTGGGGGGAGGTGAAGAAGGGCTTTTATAATCATCTGGGTGGAAAGTGGCTTTTCAAGGTAAACAGTGAACCATTTAGAGTACAATCATCCAAAAGAACTTTCTGCAGTGATGGAAATGGTCCATATCTGCACTGTCCAATATAGCAGCTACTAGCCACATGCAGTTATGGAGACCTGAAATGTGGTTAGTGTTACTGAAGAACTGAGTTTTACACTTAGTTAATTTATATCAAGATCACCACCTGTAGCTAACAGCTACCATACTGGACAGTACAGATCTGGAGAGTCAGGGACATCAGCCCTGGCGTGGGGTCCCTCTGATTGGTAATATCTGCCTGGAGGCCTATGCATAGGACAGTGAGGCTAGATGTGAAAGGGTGTAGCGCTTGATTAGTAAAGTCTACCAGGGGGCATGGAACTGAAGAAGGAATGGTGAGTACTATCCGTTTACCATTCTGGGTTATGCTGACCCCAGAGCCTCTGTCAGTACTGTTCTCACTGCCTTCAATGCTCTTTCAATGGCAGGTCCCTTATCCTGTCTCAGTTTCTCTGTCAGCTCCTTGGAAATCCTTTTCTGAATCTAGCCCCCTTGCAGAGCTCATGGTTCCTGTCATACTCAGCATCTACATCTAACTGGAGTGTTGTCTGTCTCCCTACCAGACAGGGACAAGGAAGATAGGGGCCATATTGGTTTTGCTTGCAGCTGTATTTCCAGGGGCTGGCAGCCTCCCTGACCTTCCCCTGAGGCACACTTTCTTCTAGTCCTCCCTGCTCCAGCCATACTGGCCTTTCTCCAGTTCCTCAAAAGCCTGCCTTGCTTCCTTGAAAGTACACATCCTGTTCTCTGGACCTAGAAAGCTCTTCCCCCATCCTTCACCATCTCTTCCCCTGCTTAGTGCCTCCTTGTTCTTCAGAAGCAGCCTAGTCATGACCTCTTTCTCAGGAAGACACCCCTGACCCCATCCCCAATCCAGACTACTGCAGACCTTTTTTTAATGTTGGCCTCAGGTTGCTGCTACTCTTTATCTTCACATGTCTCAGTTGCAATCTAATCTAATTGATTCCCCCACTAGGCTGGTGGCTCTGAGAGGTCATAAAAGGATGGATTGTGTCAATTTGTCCCTGTTTCCTCTCCCCCGTGTAGCACTGTTTACAAGGGCTCATTAGATGCTATGGTGGGATTATAACCTACTGTTGGGCATGGGTGAGGCTTCACCATATGAAATGGATGCAGAGGCTGGACATGAGGGAGAGAGATAGGGATTAGGAGCACCACTTAGAAAGTTGGGGTTGGGCAGCACCTGTGGCTCAAAGGAGTAGGGTGCTGGCCTCATATGCCAGAGGTGGTGGGTTCAAACTCAGTCCCAGCCAAAAACTGCATGAAAAACTGCAAGAAAGTTGGGGCCAACATCCAGGATGTGAGGTCCCAAACCAAGGATGATAACACAGCAACAGAAAGGCACAAGACCATCAATAAATACCAGGTTTTACTATTTATCCTTGTTTTGTGAGTGTCTAGCACACAGACATGGGGTAACCCATCCCATCCCTGCCTTCCACACTATTCCACGCTCAGTCCACCCCAACCACAGAGTTAATCTCTCATAGCTTCCTTGAACATATCAAGTTCCTTCCCACCTCAGGGCTGCCTCACCTGCTTTTCCCTCTGCCTGGGACTCCTCATGATTCAAGTCTCAGTTCAACTATCACCCAGCCCTGACCCTCCCCACTCTCCCCTTTGTCTGAAGTAGTGCATACTTCTCCCCTCTTTACTCCTAAATATTGATTTCTTTAATTTCCTCCCAACACTTCTGCCTTTCCAGAACATTTTATCCTGCATATTTGCTTTCTTGTTTGTCATCTGTCTAGGTACTAACCACCTCCCGAGGAATATAAGTTCTCTGAAGCATGGACTTTATTGATTTAACCTTAGCATTCAACTAGTAATCTCTGAATAAAGGAAATAAGCATACACCTGATAAACCTACTTTTTAAATTTGTTAAGGAAGGGGACACACAAGATGGGGGATGGGCATTAGCAGGACAGGGGAGGGGGAGGAGCACATAAATTGGGCAGGTTTACTGTGAATGTTCTAACTTAGCTCATGGATTTGTGGTGACCAAAAGAAATATCTCATGCTTTTATCCATCAGGGTACTTTGGCAGAAAGGGAGAAAAATAGATTTTCTAAGGGGAGGAGGTGGGTAAGCGGCCTTAGGCCAGCTTCTTTTGCCCAGAGCAAGGAGCGGGGCAGCCGGGGGCAGCCCGCCGGGCTCACCTGGTGGTGCAGCAGGCCGGTGGAGTCGCGGAACCCCTTGGGGCAGGCAGAGCAGCGGTAGGGCCGCTCGCCTGTGTGCGAGCGCAGGTGGTTGGCCAGGTTGAAGCTATGCTTGAAGCCCTTGCCGCAGCGTGGACACGCGTGGGGTTTGAGCGCCGTGTGCCTGGCGAAGTGACGCCGCAGGTCTGAGCGGTAGCGGAAGCTCTTGCCACACTCACTGCAGTGAAATGGGACTCGGGGGGCAGTGGCTGTGGGCGGTGCTGGTGCTGGGGTCGGGACGGGGCCCGGGGGTGCTGGCAGCAGGGCATCATCCATGGTGGCAGGGCATGTAGTAGGGGGGCTCTTTCTGGAGTGGGGAGGAGACAGAGGAGCAGGTGAGGGGGTCACTTCCCCATCAGCCCTCCCCTCCCAGGCTCCTTGGACTCACAGATTTCCCCCCCTTGCGCACCCACCTGGGAGAATATCCCCCTGCAAGCTACACTTGCTCCTTGGAGCCATTCGTTGTTCATTGAGCTCCTTTTACTCTCTTACAGACCCTTCTCCTGCTTCTCCACTCATCTGTAAATCTTTCTAATAATTTTCCAGTTACTTCCACTCCACTAATGAATGGTTTTTAAGCCTCTTTCCCTCTTTATGAATGGGTTTCTGCTCCTCTCTAAGCCCCTCCCACTCACGCATAGGCCCACCTATTCCTTTCAAAGTCCCGCCCACTGTTGCCTAAGCACCTTGTACTCTTTGCCAAGCCCCTTCCCCTTCAAAGGCCCTCTCACTCCCTTCTATGCTCCTGGGAGGGTAAAGATTTGGGGATAAGCACACTGGGGCCTCCTTCCAGGGAGCCTAGAACTAGTTCTGTAACCTCAGATAAAGCCAACTAAAACTCTTTACTTCTGCAAAATGGTAGTAATAATAGTACCTACCTCATAGAGTGGTAGTGAGGTTTAAGCAAAATGGTGGCAGAGTGTGCTATATGGTTACTTAAGCCAGTGCACAACAAAGCCTCCACAAGGAGGCTGTTCTGACCACTACTATCCTTTAAGTTCTTCCTGGTTTCGTCTGTTAGTCGCACCATATTTTCCAAGTTGACTTCTCTAAGCCCCTCTCTGCTCCGCTAAGACCCACCTCCAAGCCCCACTCAATTGTTCCTAGAAAAAAGCTCCACCCTTTCCAAGACCCCCCTCCACTCGACTGCTGTCATCTTTGCGGATCTTTCTTGGCTCTCTACCAAGTTCCTTCCTATCCCTTCAATCCTTCATTATAAACACTTGATAGTTTCATTAAAGCCCAGACTAATCCCCACCCCCTCACTATGCCCACCCACTTTCTCTAAGCCACACCCCAAACTTCTAAGTTTCTCCAGCCTGTTTCCTGAGCCCCAGTTCCCCACTAAGCCTTAACGAGGTTCCTTGCACTCTTCAATCTAGAGCCCTCCCACTACTTGAGCCACGCCCCTTTAAAGCCGCACCCCTTCGTCCAAGCTCCTCCCATTTCTACCCACAGTCTTTCCACCAAGCCCCTCCCATCTCCACCTTAAGCCCCACCCAAATAAGGCTCCACCCAGCCCTTGCCCCACGCCAACTGAAACTAAGCCCCGCCTCCTTCCCCACCCTACAGCTTACAGACTGGCCCCCCCCTCCCCAGTCAGCTTCAAGACTCAGGCTTCAAGAGCCGGCCTTTTGTGCCCCTCCCCCTTAGCCTAAAAAGGTGCGGCCCCGGGCGCCTGGGGCAGGGGCAGGTCAGGAGAGCCCTGGGCCCTGACTAGTCCACCTCGCTCTTAAGGAGCGGAGGTCCTGGAGACCTGGGGCAGCTTCGGGAAGCTAGGGAAGTCAGTAGCTTTCCTCTTTAATTACTTACACCTCCCTCTGGGCGCCGACATTTTGGGCAGCGGGGGCAGCGTCACTTCCACCCAGGGGGCCCCTCGACTTCCGCCTCGCCTCACTAACCCCCTCCCCCCCGCCCCGTGCGCACAGCCCCTTTCTCCCGCCCTCTCGGCTCTCCTCCCCACCCCCCCGCCCTTCTCCCTCTTTCCCTTCCTCTTCCTAGTCCTGAAGGTTGAAGAAGCCATACTGGAACCATCTTGAGTGAGGGCAGAGGGAAAGGGCTGGTCTTAGGGTTACGCCCGACGCCATACGGACTAAGGGCAAGGATCTCAGCGCGCGAGCCTTTACTCTTTACGTTAGAGAATGCTAACGTAGTTGAGAGCAAATATGATTTCGTTGTTGCAGCCTTGAACTCCTCCTGGATGTTCTGTAGCGTTTCATCAGGAGAAAAGAGAAATGGAAGTGCTCCAATTCCAACATACGGATAAGAAAAGACCAGGCACCATTTTATCCACTTAACCCTCCATGGGACTTTGAAGCCTGTGAGGTGCCATGTTAGCTACGGGCAACGAGCAGCCATTTTCCCGTTTCTCATACCTTTAGTACCTGTCTTTGGGTCATTGGCTGGGTGCTTTGTGAGAGAAAAGACATTTTGATGTGGTTGGGGATGTAGTGTTGGGTTCTTTCTCATTGGAGGCAAACCATAGCGATTGGTGCGCAAGCGCGCTTTGCTTGCGCGGAGTTGACCGGTCATTAGGACCCAGTGCAGCCCCTTTGTTTCCCGTGGGCGATGGGCCAGCCGGGGTGGGAGAGGGAGGGGCCAGCAGGCGTCCGCTGCGATGGGCGGGGCCAGCCCCGCGCGTCGCCGCCGAGGGGCAGGGCCCCCTCACCCCCTCCCTTTCCCTCTCTTCGGCCCTGTCGCCCCCTGCGCGCGCGCGCACACTCGCGAGCCCCGGCGACATGCAAATGAGGTACCCGAGAGGCGGGGGGCCTGGGCCGGGGGAGGGAGGGGAGCCCGGGGCCGCGCGCTCCTGGAGCGCGCCCCCCAACACCTGTTCCTTTTGCCGCGCCCGCTCCAGCGCTCGCGCGCGCCGACCTCCCACCCTGCAGAGCCGGCACGGGCGCGTGCGCGCGCGCAGACCCCCTTCCTGGCAGCCTCACGCGCGGTCCCCGGGCCGCTCATTGGCCGCCGCCCCCGCAGGGCCCGCCCCGCACGCGAGCTTCGCGGCTCCGAGGCCAAGTGGCACGCCTGCGGGGCGGGGGGAGGGGTCAGCTGGAGGAGGGGGTAGAAGAGAGTCGAGGGATCGAGCTCCCACTTCCCTCCATTCCGGAGACCTGGCGTCTGGTCTGGGTTGCCCCACGGGAGTGAACTGTATGATTGTGGAGAGGTGGTTACCCCTCTCTGGAACTCTGTATATGACTGTTAACAAGGGAGTGCAGGGAATCCCTACTGTACTTGTGCCTCCTCCTGCCCCCTCTTAACACCCCATTCCCAAGCTCCCGTTTTTTAGTAAGTACTGGAAAGACGAGGATGGTGGTGGGAGTTTATTGGGCGCTTACTATGCACCAGGCAGCATGCTCAGGGCATTTCGAAGCCCCTTATCTCATTTGATTCTCCTGATATCCCTGGTATATACACTGTACAGACTGGCTTAGAGAGGCAAGTCTCCTGTTGGGGTACTTGCTAATTATTGGCAGCGCTCTATTCAAACCTGGGACTGAAAGACCTGATTTCCCCGTGTCTCCTTGGGTACATTTCTTTTCCTTTCCAGGGCCACTGGAGTCAGTAAGACCTGGTTCAAATCTTGCTTCTGCCACTTACCGGCAGAGGGAACTCAGGCAACTAACTTGCATTTCCGGTGCCTCGGTTTCCCTATTTTGCAAAATGAGAAGGTGTCCCCTTATTCAGAGCTGTGGTGTAAGGCTTAGGTACTTATGATGCCAATAGTGGTTAATGCTCCTAAAAGATCCTGTTTATGAACACTGTCTGTTTTCTTCTCAAGGCATGCTTGGGCGAGTTGGTAGAATTATGAGTCCTATTTGGCAAAATGTTTAACTGAGGCTCAGAGGGGTGAACACCTGCCCAAGACCACACAGAGACTAAGTGACAGACTCAGGATCTGAAGTCAGGTTATTTAACGCCAGAGCCTAGACTTTCAACAACTTGTATTTATTCCTCATCCAGGAATGAGCGTCAAATATCAGCTAGGATTAGTCCCTTTTTTTCCAGTCCTGAACTCCTTCCCTATTTTTGTCAATTGGAAGGAAGGGTCAAGGGCCTTTCTGAGGCCTCTATGGCTCTGGAGTTTGATTGATTTTGTTTCCACCATCACATTAGTGGCCTGCACCTCAGCTGGACTCTATCCGGCCTAGAAAGTTTTTCTTTATTTCATCTCATGTTGACCTTGAACTTCTAGATCCAGGAGAAGGGTTAGGGAGGCATGGGGGACACCTGCAGAGCTCAGAGCAGTGCTTGCTTACCAACTGGTACAGAATCATCTCACTATTTTACTCAGCAGCATGGCTATAACTGTGTGTCTGAGTTAATGCCAACCATGCCTAGGTCCAAAGAATTGAAGAGAGGGACAGGCAAGGTGTTGGGGGACACAGGGTTGCTCTAGTCCCTCTGGGCACTGACTCTGCCCCTCTCTCCTCTTAGCTGGCAGCATTGCCCAGACCCAAGCCCCCCCACTGCTCAATGGACACCCCCAGCCCAGACCCGTTGCCTTCGCCTTTGTCCGGGGAGGAAGAGAAACCTCTGGCCTTACCTCCTCCTGTTCCCCGGGGCCGCCGAGGCCGACGTCCTGGGGGGGCCAGCTCCTCCAACCGGACGCTTAAAGCCTCCCTCTCTTGCAAGCGGGGCCGCTCTTCCAAAACAGGGCAGGAAACCCCGCTGGCGCAGGGAGTGACAACCCCAGTGGGCAGCAGTGGTGGCAGCGACCTCCTGTTGATCGATGATCAGGGTGTGCCCTATACAGTCTCTGAAGGGTCAGCAGCAGGTGGGCCTGAGGGCTCTGGCACCAAGAAGGCCCCACACTTCTGCCCAGTGTGCCTACGGGCCTTCCCCTACCTCTCCGACCTAGAGCGTCACAGCATCTCGCATTCAGAGCTGAAGCCGCATCAGTGCCAGGATTGCGGCAAGACCTTCAAGCGGTCCAGCCACCTGCGGCGGCACTGCAACATCCATGCTGGCCTGCGGCCCTTCCGCTGCCCGCTCTGCCCCCGCCGATTCCGCGAGGCGGGTGAACTGGCCCACCACCACCGCATCCACTCTGGGGAGCGCCCATACCAGTGCCCGGTCTGCCGGCTTCGCTTTACAGAGGCCAACACGCTCCGGCGCCATGCCAAACGCAAGCACCCGGAGGCCATGGGGGTACCCATGTATTCCCCGGACCCAGGGCCTGAACCATCGTGGGATGACGAGGGCATCCCGGCCACAACAGGGGCCGATGAAGAGGAGCCGGAGGGGAGGGAGCCAGCCTGATCCATGCTGGCTCCCACTGCTCCGCCGGCCAGGTTTAGAGCTAGGAGTTCGGCTGGTGTTGGGCCTGAGGAAGAGGGCCGGGGCACTTTTGTTTTTGGTGTTCTTGCCGCCGTGGGTCGGGGTGGAGGTTGGGGCCTTAAACTTCTGGGTCCTGCTGCCTTCTGCCTCCTCCCGGACTAACAGGCTCTGGGAGGCAGGGGCTCTGGAAATAAATCTCTGCCTACTGGCTTTCTGTGTGGTGTGTTCAGTGATCGTACCGCATGACTTTCGCCTTGTCTTTCCTTTGGACGTTCTTCGGGATTCGAGAGGAGCCCACGTCGTGTGTCTCATTAACGTGGCACTAAAAATAGTTAGAAGGACGCCCTTGCCCCTCCCCCATCCATCAGACCCGCAGGGTATAATTGTCCCTTGGTATATGCGGGAGATGGGTTCAATGACCCTGGTATATACCAAAATCCGCTCATATTCATGTACAGCAGTCAGCCCTACGGAACCTGCTGTGGGAAAAGTCCGCTCTGCATATACACGGGTTTCATATCCCATGCACTGTTTTCTCCATTCGCCTTTGGTTCAAAAAAATCCTCCTGTAAGCGGACCTGCACAATTCAAATCCATGTTGTTCAAGGGTCTCTACACTCCCAATAAATATCCAATCCAAGTAAAACATTAAATCTGCTATGCAAACGTGACTCTAGGTCCAGCCCACTCCTCCCCATCCCAGCCAAATTCGCACAAATTCTGCTGCCAACATTCTTGCCCCATTTCCATGACCTGAGGCCCACTGGAAGGAAAAACTGAGTTGAAGGTGTGAGCAAGACTAACAATTTTAGTAAGCTGTAGAGAGAAAAGGGTTGGCATGGGCTGAGACCCAAGAGCAAGGCTTATTGGGTGGTTAGGCCAGATGGGGGGGCAGAACGGGCTAAGAATGGGGTGGGGTTTAAAGAGGTTTAGGGGTTAGCCGGCAGAAAGAGAGCAGTTTAGAGGGAACCCACTGAGTTCGTTTGGGGGCAGGACTTAAACGGGGGAACTTAGAGTAGGATATGCAATGGCACTGTTAGGACTGAGGTGTGGGTATACTGCTATCCAGGTCAGCGGGAGAGAAGGAGGTATCTAAGAGAGGCGTCATTAAAGGAGGTCAGAGAGAGAGAAGCCTAGCAAGAGCGACTGAACACGCTGGGCGCTGTGCCTAATACCTGTAATCTTAGCACTCAGGGAGGCCAAGATGGGTGGATTGCTTGAGCTCATGAGTTGGAGACCAGCCTGAGCAAAAGTGAGACCCCCATCTTAAAGAAAGCCGGGAATTGGGACGGACTACTGTACCAGCTACTTGGGAGGCTGACACAAGAGGATCCTAGAGCCCAAGACTTTGAGGTTGTTGTGAGCTACAATGACACACCATGACACT